TTGCTGAATAAAATTTTATCTACAACCTGAGCAAAAATAGAATATACAATCACTTTAACCCATAATATTTTCATATGGCACCTAAAATCATGTTCAAAAGCATAATACTGCCTCCTTTACATAATAGTTCAAGAGAATCTGTTTAAACAAAATCAGTGTGGTGTAATTTTTTGAGAACCAGAAGTTTCTATGTTAATGATTCTATCAGTCTTTTAAAGTGGGCTATGTGGCAACTAATCATTACAAAAGCTTACATTACATCAAACCTATTTTTCTGAGACCTTGTTTAGCAAATAGTTATCCTCTCATTTTTCCTTCCAAAAATAATATTCTAGCACTTACAATAACACTGCAGTAAAACTGAACCTTAATATCAGGAAATCCCACTCTACCCAATTCAATTTTTTACATCATACAATGGATTCTTCATATTAGACACACAGTCTTGTACTTTCCTGGACATTTCACCTGCTATTCTTTGCCATTATCAATAGAAATTGAAGCTTAACTCTGGCATTAAGTGGACTGATAATGCCAATCCGTTAAGTCTGGGCAGAAAGGTGAGGAGATGGAGTGAGGATATTGTTTTGCCTTGGGATCCTGATCAAACAGAATGGGAATAAAGAGATGGAAATTTTCCTTATTTAGATCATGACAGTAAGAAAAAAGATTCAAGAGGCCTAAATAAGTCTTCCAGTCTTATCTCAAGAAACATTGATATAATCTCTCAGGAAGGGGGATTATCTTTTGCTATCAGAAATGGATAGTTTATCAGAAAAAGCAGAGTTATTCTGATTTTTAATCTCAGCAGTGTTCAGAAAGATGACTATGGGGATCTCTTTTTTTATATTCCTGAAGCAGCACATGGAATTGTCAGTTCCCACAACTTGGAAAAATTTGGTTGAAAATAAGCATTCTTACAGTGTTTCCAGAACTCCCTGAAAGAGTAACCTGAACACCTGTAAAAAAATAAATTCTTAGGCCTAATTTAGACATAATGAATGGCAGTTTTCAAAGAGGCATGATAATTTCTATACTTAACAAATACCTCAGATGATTAACATGCAAGTTTGAAAAATTCAGCTGTATTCCCTCAAGAAGGTTCTATCATTTTTTCTCTCACAGTACTTAAAAGAACTTAAAAAAAAACAACAGTGGTTGACACCGTAGCTAGCAATTGTGACCATAGTTATCAGACTTCAGCAAGCATCCAGAAGATCATGTCCCTGTCCTCATAGCCAACATTCTATACTTTCTCATCTATCTTAACTGAACACTCATTTTTATTATACTAGACAAAATCTTAATGATTTTATCCAAAAGAAAGCTCAACTACTAAAATAGTGTACTTAAAAGTGTAATTTCTGTACAAGAGCACCAAAACAACTTTCAGAAGGAAGATATGGTTTAGTATACTCATCTTTTGAAAACTAAGATTAGGTTGCAAAGGAGTTGATTCTTTTTTGACAGGGATTTTGCAAGCAGAGGCAGAGAGCTGCAATTTTTATTCCAATCTAATTTTTTGTTTTAATAGTATACATTCAATGGCTTGGGTTTCTCAAATTATAAACTGGGAAAGAGAATTTGGTTATAATTGCAAAACTAGAAAATAAAATTCCCAACTTAGCTAGGCAGGTTCCCATTCGAGTCTGACATCTCAACAAGCAATTAAATTGTATTTAATTACTAGGTTTCAGTAAAATGACCAAATTATCACATTTGACCACAGACAAGGAAAAATAAGTAAAACAACTCTGGGAGTTAATTTGAAAGCTGTATTAAGGGATGTAGAAACTTAAAAATCTTTACCTACTTTTAATTTGTATACCATAAAATTAATGTTTTACTTTTTAGTGTCTACAAAGCTGTACAGCCATCATCATCACAATCAAATTTTGGAACATTTCCATCACCCCAAAAAGATCTCTCAAGTTTATTTGTAGTTACTTCCTGTTCCTACTCCCAGCTCCGGGCAACTGCTTATCTACTTTCTCTATAGATTCTCCCCTTCTGAAAATTTCACATAAATGGAATCACATATAGGTAGGGTTTTTTTGTTTAGTGTTTGTCCTTTAGCTTGTTTTGAGGTTCATCCATATTGTAACATTATGAATACTTCATTCCTTTTTATTATTGAATAGTATTCCACTGAATAGATAACTAAATTTTGTTTATTAATTCACTAGTTGATCAACAACTGGGTTGTTTCCTATCTTTGGCCATTATAACAATACTACAAACATCTACATACAAACCTCAGTGTGGACATGTTTTCTTATCTCTGGGGTATATAACCAGAGTGAAATTGCTGGGTCATAGGTAAATTTATGTTTAATTTCCAGTTTTCCAAAGTGACTGAACCATTTTACATTCTCACCAGAAATATATCCAGTTTCCCCACATAATCCCCAACATTCACTACTACCTTTTTTATTACAACTATCCTAGTGGTCTCTGTGGTTTTAATTTGCATTTCCTCTGGACAAGAATACAACATTTTTTTCATGTGCTTACTGGCCCTATTTGTATATCTTTGGAGAAATGTCTGTACAATTCCTTTGCACAATTTTCATTTGGGTTCTCTTATTGTATTTGTAGAGTTCTTTATATATTCTGGATACTAGACCCTTATATCAGATACATGACTTACAAATATTTTCTCATGTACTTTGGGTTGTCTTTTCACTTTCTTGATAATGTTCTTTGATGAAGAAAATTTTAAAAGCATTATCAATTTTTCTTTCATGCAGTGCACTTTTTCATATTATATCTAAGAAATCTTTACCAACCTCAAGGTCACAAAAATTTCTTCCTGTTTTTTCCTAAAAGTTATATAGCTTTAGCTCTTACAGTTAGGACTATCATCGTTAAAAGAAAATTATAGTCAATATACATAAAACTTAATGTTTCAACCTTTTTTAAAGTGTACAATCAAGTGGCAACAAGGGCATTCCCATGTTGGGCAACCATCGCCACCATCCATCTCCAGAACTTTTTCATTGTCCCAAACTGAAACTCGGTACCCATTAAATAATAATTACTCACTCTCCTCACCCCCAGTCCCTGGCAACCACCATTCTACTTTCTCTCTTCATGAATCTGACAACTCTTAAATTCCTCATATAAGAGAAACCATACAGTATTTGTCCTTTTACAAGTGGCTTATTTCACTTAGCATGTTTTCAAGACTCATCCATGATGTACTATGTGTAAGAATTCCCTTCTTTTTAAAGAATGCATAATATTCCATTATATGTATATATGACATTTTTAAAAATTCATTCAACTGTTGATGGATACTGGGCTGTTTTACCTTTAGGCTATTATGAATAATGCTGCTATGAACATTGGTATGCAAGCATCTGAGTCCTTGCTTTTGATTCTTTGAGTATATACCCTGAAGTGGAGTTGCTGAATCATATTATAATTTTGTTTAATTTTTTGAGGAACCACCAGACTTACCCATTTTTAGTTAATTTTTATGTATGGTATAAAGTTAAAGGTCTAAATTTATCTTTTAGCATGTAGATATCCAACTACATTATCACCATTTATTGAATAGACTTATTTCCTCCATTAAATTGCCTTGGCACCTTTGTCAAAAATCAAGTGAATATAAACATACATGGCTTATTTCTGAACTTTCATTTCTGTTCCATTGATGCATGTCTATTCTTAGGCCCAAACCACACTTGATTATTGTTGTTTAATAGTAAATTTTAAAATTGGGAAGACTTAAAAGACCTCCAATTTTATTTTTTCTCTCCAAGAATGTCTTGGCTACTCTGGGTCCTTGACATTTACATATAAATTTTATAATCAGCCTGTCTATTTCTGCAAAAAGCTTGCTGGAATTTTAGTAGGATTTGTGTTGAATATATAGATCAATTTGAGAATTATCATTTTACTAATATTGCATCTTCTAATCCATGAATGTGTAATGTTTCTCTAATTATATAGATCTTCAATTTCAGCAGTGAACAAGTCTTGCACTCCTACTTTTAAACTTAGTTACTATTTCATTCTTTTAGATGCCACTGTGAATGGGATTTAATTTTTGAAGCGAACACTGCTAGCATACAGAAATACAATGGATTTTTGCAACCTGATATTGTATCCTACAACCTTGCTGAATTTAGTTCTCGTAGTTTTTTAGTTTTCTAGTACTATGTGTAGATTCCTTAGGATTTTCTACATACAGGATCATGTCATTGGTAAATAGAGATAATTTTACATCTTCCATTCCAATCTGGATGTCTTTTATTTCACTTTCTTGCCTGACTGCACTGGCTAGGGCCTTCAGTACAATGTGGTACACGAGTGATGAGGGTGGACACACTTGCCTTGTTTCCAATCTTAAGGGACAGCATTTAGAATTCCACAATTAAGTATAATGATAGTATTAGGTTTTTTGCAGCGGCCCTTGATTGAGGCATCTGATAAATGATCTATCCATTAATGAGAGATACTGTCTCCACCTATCATGGTTGAATTGCCTGTTTCACCCTTCAATTATGTCAGTTTTTGTATCTCATATTTTAGGGCTCTATTATTAGATGTGCATGCTTATAATTGTTACACCTTCCCAAGGAACTGACCTTTTAATTATAAAATGTTCCTTTTTGCCTGTAGTAATATTTTTTGTCCTAAAGTTGACTTCATCTGATATTAACATAGCCAGTCCAGCTTTCTTATGGTTACTGTCTGCATGCGATATCTTTTCCCATCCTTTTTCTTTCAAACTATTTGTGTCTTTGAATCTAACGTGCCTCTGGAAGACATAATATAGTTGGATCTTGTTTTTTATTCTGTCTGATACCAACTTCTTTGAATAAAGAAGAATGTTTTTCTCTACTAAGGAAGGTCATTCTTTTGAATCACATATAAAACTTTGGATAGGGAGCCATAGGAGAAGAAGAGACACTCTTCAGCTAGACCAATTGGCAATCACTAATTAACAGGTGTGGCCATATTTCTCTCATCTTAATCCAGTAACCTACCTCTCAGCCACTGCTAGTAGTCGTTCTGGCCTAAAGGTACCCTCAGTGTCAATGTACATGGCCTTTCCTTCGCCTCCACCTCGGTCAATGGGAAGCTAGAGAGAACAAAAAGAACAGTGGAAATGAACACTTTACTTCTGAGATAACTGACTTCCCCATGATGAGTCTATAATCTGCTACCACACTTAAGTCAAAAGGAAAAACACTTTAAAGTGAAAGAGTTAAGGAGGTGGCATTCCCTTCTAACTGAAGGGAATACAGCTAGTTACAGGTATGAAACTCATTGTATCCTGTAACACGTGAGGCTAGAGTATTATTGTGAGAGTTGAGTTGCTTGGAAATATAGTCCAAAGTAGTAGATAAAATTCTGACTGCATACCAACACAAGACAGATCGGTTCTCTCAAGAGCACAAACATGTGAAAGATCATTTAACATTAGCTTAACAGGTTAGAGACCATGATTCAAAACTCAATTAATTTTAGCAAATCCAGACCACATTTACACTTTACTTTATTAAAGAGAGTTCATTCTTGCAGGTTACTAAAGATTACAATGCTCCAGAGGCATCCATCCCTAACAAGTTTAGTATGAGCAAAAAAGAAAAAAAGGCTTGTTCCAATAGTAATATAGATGTTAAAAATGAATAAAAGGAGATAAAGGAAAAATAAATATATAAGAGTTAAAAAAAAAAGCAAAGAAAAGGGAAGAATGCCATGAAAACTATCTGACAAGCTACTTAGGGAAATATTTGCTTTAGGTTAACCATCCCATAACATCTTTGAGTTCTACAAATTTTAAATGAACGATGTTAAAGGTTAGTTTCCACCTTAGCGATCTACTTTGGAGCCATATACACCTTTAAATTCTGAGAAAAATCCCTTGGGACATTTTACATTAAGGGCTGGTAGCACCAAATTTTCTTTCTTCTCCTATTTCTGAGAAAAACAAAACTTTAAATTACAGAAGTACTGTATGCTTGTACTAAAAATTCAAATATAGAAATAAGTAGAGTGAAAATCAGAAGATCTTCATCACTCACTCCCATCTCCCATAAGTACTCATTCAGATTTTTTTTTCTAAGCATTTTTATATAAACATTTTTTAGATACGTGGTTGTTCCACTTACAATATGACTCTGGGGATAGTAATTCTGTTTCTTTTTCTGTAAAATGTACATAAAACCCATCTATGGGATTGTTCTGAAGATTAAATAATTCATATAAAGTGTTTAGCACAGTACCTGACATAAAGAAAGCACATTGAAGACTTAATGATATCCTCCACTTCTAGAGCATTGATTTTAGCATATATTCAGTTATGAAAGACTTTGTTAATTTGCAAAGGGAAAAATGATTATGTTATCATTTGGCAGGTTCACAGATAAAATCTTTCACATCATAGGAAGCCATGGAAGGAACAAAGGATACATATACAACAAAAAGGGTCTTGACAGAGGGAAAGTTTAAAATCACTGGCCAAGAGAACAGAAAGCAGAAGTTGCTTCAGTTTTTGTGGGAGGAAAAAATCTTGAGACTCAGCAGGCTAAGTACCCAGGAATTAAAATTAATAACGTTCTCCCTTCTCTCACTTTCTGGTACCTTTAGTGTTAGCACGAGAGGGGGTTCTTTTACAGCTAGGTAGACCTCCTTGGGCAGAAGGGAGTTCCTATGTGCTAGGGACAGGTAAGCCTACTGACAGCAGAAGAGCAGACAAGGTCACAGTATATTACTGGGCCACTCTGAAGGGGATGGACTACATGCTCTGCACTCCAGCCCATTGTTTCCTCCAGCTTGCCCTCTCAGTGCTACCTTGTGTTACTGGACTGGGACACCACCAAGTTAGCAACTATTAGTAATTGCTTAGTAGCATAACTCAACATTTTTTCCTGTTTTATAGTGATGCAGGTTGTTTTGAACTTTCACCATTTTATAATACTGTGATGTAAATTCTTTGTACATTTATCCTTGACCATGAGAAAAGTTCTGTAAGACAGATTTTCTGTCAAAGTGCAGATGCATTTAAAACTGGAACTTATGTTAGATTTTCTTTTCAGAATTTAAAAATTACTATAGCACTGTGAACAAGCACATGCTGTTCATTTTTGTAACTGAACTATGGCTCTCAACTTTACATAACTTCATTATTAATCAGATCAAACATATAATGGTGTTTCACTTCATTAAGTTGAAAAAATCTGAACAAATGAGAGCAGATAATGTTTCAATTTAAGAAGTAATCTAACATCCTCTCTATACCTCTAGTTCAAGCTCTTGGGCTGGTGAAATGTAATCTTTTCTATTAATACTGAATTAGCATTCTTTTTCTCTGAAAAAAATCCCAAGCATCTAGAGTTGTTCAGCCACCTGTGAATGTTCAGTTATTTTTAGAGAGCGTATGTTTGAGAATTTTGCTTCAGTTTATTATTGACAGGCATCACCTGACCATTTAATAAGCATTCCCAGGATAGGATTCTGTTTGTATAAATTAAGAGCATCAATGTGATATGCTGAGTTACTCTGGCAACTATACATATTGTGGACCATACCCTAAATATTTATTCCACACGAATCCCTGTCAAAACAACATATGAAAACATTTCTATTTAAAAAGGTCCCATCATGCCAAATGACCCATGTCAGGGTGATATTTTAAACAGTCTTATTTTCCCTTTAGCTAACAATTCTCTAATGGTGCTCAGGAAATAAGCTATTGTTGCCACACTTTACTATACCGCTCTTCTCAATGCTTCTCCCTTTATTAGCCTAGAAGTTATTTTATCCCCCTAACTCCTTGGAATTATTTATGAAGAGAGCAAACAATTGCTTAGGTCTACTTGATATGGGAATGGCTATCTCATAAGACACAGGGTGACATTTTGGTCTGCAATGAAAAGACCAATAGGGCAACTGAGGAAAGAAACAAATGACAAGCAAGAAAGGAAAATGAGATAAAAAAGAAAACTATCAAAGTTAAGGCCTCTTGCTGTTCAACCAACTTTTATTCATTAAGAACCAGAATATTTCCTATTCTCAAAAATGCCATTCACCACTTCAATACAGAAGTGGTAGCTGATAAAGGATCTATCTTTACCATGAAAAAAATTAGGCAGATCTTTCTTGCATGACTTGAGAAAATCAGCCTCATAATATTAGTCTCAGCAGACATGTGTTTTACTAAATGTGACCCCATGCAAGACACAGGGTCCTAACAAAATTTCTATTTTTTATGGCACATGCCATCTTTAACTGAAGCACAACTTTACATTGATGTACTAAATACTTTCTGATAAAGTGCTATTTAAATACACAGTTATGAAGGATAGTTCATAACTTGTTTTATGAGGGAAAAACACAAAATAACAATTTATATTTGGTGCCTAAATTTATAAATGAGTTCCAGAAACTACTGTTTTTTTATTGAGAGGATAAGAACTCATACTATGATGGAAAGGTATTAGGAAACTTTCTCTATCATACTGATATAAAGAGGCAGATTTCAGTTGTTCTTGAACTCCATCAATAAATTATGTCTATGAAAGAAGTGAGTATAATTTATCTAGATTAAAATAATACCATTTTCTTCTGAATACCTAAAAGCTTCAAAGGATTATAACAGAAGAGTGACCCATGGGAATCGGCACGCTCCCAGGGTACTTCGTGAGCCAGCCACTCAAGGCAGTACTCTCATTAAGCCACGGAATGTTAGGACCCCACCCAAATAGGAAAAAAAGCTCCTCACAACACTATGTAGAGTTGTAAAACAATGAGAGGCTTGTTCACTTTTTAGCTCTTCTCTCTCATAGATTCACTGTCAGAGATTCCAATGTTACTTCTCTATATAGGACTTAGTTCCGTATCTCTAAATACTGCTAGAAATGTTCACTTGGTTGTCTTTTCACCTCTAACCCATCATCTCTAAACTTCAATTCATCTTGCCATAAAACATATCTCTCCCAAATCCTTTTTAGAGTTTTACAAAGTTAATACACTGTTGGGCTGAAGGATATTTTTATTGTTAGTCATTAAGCGCTGCCATTTATATCTTCTGCCTATATCCCTTCAATGTCACTACTGGAGTTTCATCCTGATCAGCTAATGCTTGTAATAATCACACTTCAAATATCTTCTCACCTCTCCTTTCAATTCATTCAACAAGTTGCTACCAGAATATTTCTAAAAATTTTGCTCATTACTCTTCAGTTGAAAGACACTGAATATTCCCCACTCTTCACAAAATCAAGTCTAAACTTCTTACATTGCATTCAAGACCTTCTACAATACGGACTTTCTGGGTCCTTTAAAGGTTTATCTTCAAGTTTTCCAAATAAAACCTCTGAGCTAAGTAAATGGGTTCATTCATTATTTTCTCAATACATATGCCTCCCTGCCCCCCTGTACTTCTATTCATACCATTCCACAGTTAGATGTGTTTTAATTTTTTACCTGCTCAAATTTAGCATTTTTCAGGAGTCTAGTCCAATCTCTTTTCGCCATGAAGTATTAATGTGATTACTATAGGGTGAAGTAGTCCCTCTGTCTTCCTTAAACAATTGTTACTTCCTCTATGTCATTTATTTTATAATATATCAGGTACATCTTAGGACATCAATTCTCTTATTTCCTCCACATAAATATCTTCTGAGTGTCAATCACTAACTTAGGTAATAATACAATATAGCAGAGAACAAACCAGTTTATAGGTTCTATTCTTAAGGAGGTTTTTAAGAGCATGGGCTCTGAAGTCTGGTTTGATTCCTGTATCTATTAGTCAAATGTGATATGATTTCAGGCAATTATTTAACTCAATGTGTCTTTTTCCAAATTTGTGCACGAATTGGAGCATAAGCAAAGGAAGAAGAAACTGAAGGAGTTCAGGGAAGGTTTTTTTCCTAATGGAGGTGATACTAGGCATGTCTATATACTAATGAGGATAGTATTAATACAGAGGTAGAGCAGAAAACAGAAGCAAAGCCCTTGAGAAGGTGGCAGGAGATGAGAGCCAAATATCACTGGTAGGATGGGCCTTTGAAAGGAAAAGAGATACTTTCTTCACTGTTAACTGAAGGTAAGGAAAAGGTGTGTATAAATGTTGGTGGATTTAGAGATTTGATGTGAAGAACAGGTTAGGTCAGTGGCCGAGAGTGAGGACTGAAGAGGAGCATGAACAGGTTAGGTCAGTGGCTGAGAGTGAGGACTGAAGGGGAGCATGATGGTTTGAGGAGAAAGGACAAAGTATGAGACAGCTATCTACTGAGTGGGAAAAAGTACACCTAAATGGAGAAATTCACTATATTTGCTAGGCAGTTTTGAATGTTAATCTAAAGTTTGTCATCTTGAATTGAAAGTGAAGCCAATCAGCATTATGGTATGATTTTTCTCTAGTGTGATCAGCTAGCTATTTGGGAATAGGCACTGAGAAGACAGATAGGGTTCATCTAAAACTGGCATCTCTTCAGGTGGGTGATATAAATTCTGAGGATATTTTAAAGAAGTGACTTGAATGATAATATTAAATAAAATTTTATTAAATATATTTTATTAATAAAAATAAAATTTAGACTAGCGAAGAGAGCAGTGGATGGCTTACCAGATGGTAAGAAAGTGAATGGTATGAAATCAATACTCTGGAAGCTTCTATGATGTGGAAGAATTTTGCAATAGGAGTCTATTTTCTAAATCACTACAGGATTCTTGAGGACAGAGGAAGTGCCATTTATGTCTATCCCAACAGATGCTTGCAATAGTGGGAACCAATTCCTTCTTCTGATTTAGTTAGAGCCTCAAAAGCTTACCTGGCATGTTACAGCCAATGTATGACAGATCTGGGTCTTCCCAGTTCGGAATTCTCCAAACATCTCTGTGATGGATCCAGTCTCAATTCCTCCTATAAAAGCAGTAAGTAACACCATTTAGCACATACAAAGTACTGTTTACACAATAATGATAGAAATGTCCTTAGAGTTTATCAGAAAGATGTTTATGTAATTTGGAAATAAAATTTTCAACCAGTAATTTTTTTAAATACTTTTTATTTTGAAATAATTCTAGATTTTTAGAAAATTGCAAAGAAATGTACAGGGAGGTCCCATGAATTCTTCACCCAGCCTCCCCAAATGTTAACATTTTATAAAACTGTAGTATAGTATTAATAACAGAAAACTGACATTGATACAATCTGGAGTTTGCTCAGATTTCTCCAGATACACATGCAATCATTGTTATCTGTATGTATGTAGTTCTATGCAACTTTATCACATGTGTAGTTTCATGTGACTATCATTACAATCAAGATACAGAACCATACCATCACAAGTCAATAAGCAGTCATTTAAAAAATAAATTATAAATAGTATCATCTAAATTTACTTAATTTGTCCAAGATTCATACTTAATTTGTACCTGGCATTGTGCTATGTCTTTATATGTACCATTTAATTCCAATAACCTATAAGGTAGGCAGTTTTTAATACTTGTTATGAAGGTAAGAAAACAGACAGAGATATTATGTAATTTGCACTATTTCAAATAGCCAGTAAATGCTGGGAAGGGATACAGGAAAGGGATACTCAAATTTGAGTATAACTCCTGAATCCATACTATTTTATACCTAAAGAAAACCTTGAACAATAAATATTTGGGGAAGCAACAAGAACAAAATCTAACTTTGCAATAATTTAATACAGCAATGTTTTTAATATTTCTTCTAAACTTTACAGCTTTCCATAAAGTCCTGAAGATCAGTGTGAACTACAATGTATTAATAGTACAATGTAGTATTTAAAGATGGAGTGTTTTAACTAGTCATCAGATTTCAAACTTGTGTTAAGAATAGGTTAAAATTATAATTATTCCTTTAGGAAGAGGGAGCTTACTCTCAGAATGCAATACTAAATGAAGATTAAATTATCGAATTGGCAGATAATTTTAGTATTTTATAAGTCAGGTCCCACCCTGCAGCAGTCTTAACTTCTTCAATGTGGATAGTTCTCCTATCTCTTAATCATATCTAACAAATAAATTCTACCCTAACACTTTAGTTTTGTTCTATGACTTGGATGCTTTGCTGACTGCAGTTCACAATATAGGATAAGGGATTACTACACCTTGAAGTAGTTTGTCAAGCTCTTTGGAGCCAGTAGTAATCTGTATGATCTCTGATCGCCTTTGGTGGAACTCAGTTGCAGTGGTGAATCCCATCGGAACTAATTTAGCTGCCTCAGTCTGGGAAAAACAAGATTCATCAAATCAATAAAATATGTTTGGTAAGAACCAGGCATAATGTGGGAAGAGACAACATCTAATAAAATTTCCAGAATGATCTTTTTTTTAAAGTCCTTAAAATACTAACAAAACATTAACTAGGTCTAGGATTATTTTCTCTCTCTGGCAAAGGATAAACTAATTTAGAGAACGGACTAAAGGATAAATTAATTCAGAGACTCCATGAAGATTAATTTTTTAATTCCTAATTCAAGTAATACATTCATGTAGTTAAAAAAAAAAACTATTACAGAACCACGTGTACTTCACCTGACTTACAACAAATGTGATATTACAGAACAAAGTCAAACAACAAATTAAAACCTTTGTTTCCTTGTTCCATCAACCAGACTGTATCTCTTAACTTTTTACTTTGCTAAATGAGGACATCTATCCTTCAATCTCTTCTCCTGCCATTTCTACTTCCCCATCTCTGTCAACTTTACCTTTTCTTTTAAATTGTCAAGTCTGAGAACATTCGTATTCTATTTTATAGTCACTGATAAGTCTTTGATCATCAGTCTATTGGTTGATTCCAAAATTTAAAAATAAATGCATTCACAGATATGTGGAAATTCAACATACTCCTAAATAACCAGTAAGTTAAAGAAACAATCACATGGGAAGTTAGAAAATACCTTTGAGATTAATGAAAATGAAAGTACAACATACCAAAACTAATCAGATGCAGCAAAAACAATGGCTAAACAAATTTATTGCTGTAAACACCTATATTAGAAAGATCTTAGCTCAATAACCTAACCTCCCACCTCAAGGTACTAGAAAAAGGGCAAGCAGAAGGAAGGAAATCAAATTAGAGCAGAAACTAATAAAATAGAGAATAGAAATACAATCAAGATAAACAATGAAACCTACAAGTTGGTTCTCTGGAATGAACAAAAACCATGAAAAAATGAAGACTCCAAATTACCAAAATCAGAAATGAAAGAGAGGAAGTTACTACCAACCCTACAAAAATAAAACTATGCCAACAAATGTAACATAGAGGAAAGGCAAATTCCAAGAAAGATACAAATTATCATAATTCACTCAAGTAGAAAAAGAATCCAAGTCAAGGCACTGAATGAGTAGCTGATTCAGTAAAATTATGTGAGTCTGACTACAATCAAAGAGGAAAATGCGAATAGATCTATAGCAAAAGATTAAACTTTTAACTTAAAAACTTTCACATACACCAGAATCAATAAACAGTCGAGTAGTGGGTATGTACTACTCTCTTAACTTCTCTAATATTTCACTTGAAAATTCATTATAATGTGTTTATGTAGTTTTGTAAATATAATTCATTGCTGAACCAAATGGTGCGCTAGACATACAATTCTTTCAATTAAGATTCCAATATTAACCCTGTATCTCTCAAGTGTCTACTGTCAAGTTCAAAATCATGTTCCATTTTACTTTGCTTTTATTATCTCAGTTATGTCTTCCCCTAGTACTCTGACTTTATCATTTTTCAAATTTTCCAACCTCTCAACCTTACTGTGTGTTCTACTGAATCTCTTTCTCTGAAGCTCTACTTTCCTTCTCCGAACTGGGCTATCTGCTCTCCCAGTTAGCTATTGTCCTGGGCCTCCCCTCCCTTCACTGAGTTGGAGCCACTTTAACCTAGAGCCTATGTTTTCCATCCTCACTCTGGTACAGTATAACCTCAAGTAACTTGCTAAGAAAAAGTGGATGAAGGAAATATATTCTGAGTTTTTATATTTCTGAAAATCTTGTATTCTGTGCTAATACCTGATTAATAAATATTGCTATAAACAGAATTCTAAGTTTAAAATTATTTTTCCTCAGAACCTTGAAGGCAATGCTCTACGAGCTTTTATCAGAAATCATCCAGATTTCTGGTAAGAAGAATGCTATCTTTCTGATTCTTATTCCTTTCAAAGAACTTACTTTTTTCCCCTCTGAAATCTTTCAGAATCTTCTTTTCATGATGATATATTGAAATTCTACACTGATGCGTCTCGGTATAGGTCTCTGACACTCCGTGGGGTCTTACTATGTAAGAGTTCTGCTTCCCTTTAGTTCTAGGAAATATTCTTGTATTATTTCTTTAAGAATTTCTTCCTTTTCTGTGATTTCTCTTTCTGTAACTTCTAACTAATTTCCAGGATGAATGAAGATTAATGAAAATTAGAAAACAAAAATACCAAAGAGAGGAGGGAAGAAACAATAAACCATACTGAACTCTAGTTAATATATGCTAAAATATTTAAGGGGAAATATACTGACAACTGCAACTTTCTTTGAAAAGAATTAAAAAATCCAATGTTAGAATTTAGGTGGTGTGTATGAGTATGCATGCTAAAATTCTTTCAACTTTGCAAAAGGTTCAAAAATTTCAGTAACAAAACAATTGAGAGAAAAAAAAACACTCAAAAGGAGATGTTTTCCCTGCTTTGTCAATGTAACCACTATATTTTCTAGTCTATGAGCTCTTAGAGGAACAGAATATTATAACCAAAGTGAAATTTGAAGTAAAAACCATGGAACTGCTTAATCTGGGAGAAATTTACTTCAATTCTACACTTGCACAATAAGCTTACTTTAATCTGTGCTAGGTAGTCTTAAATCTGTAGGAGTTTTCAATAACCAAGATATATCAAACCCTTGGAAATAAGACATAAAATGGCAAGTAAAAGGAAAGTTCCTCAAAATATCCATGCTGAATCTGTCAGTGCTATCATAGTGCACCAAGAGACCATAGCTCAGCAAAAGCCAGTTAAAATTACATTAAACTTTAAAAATGTGGGAAGGCCACAGAAGAGGCTGGTACCTTCTGGATGAATTTCATTCACAGTATTTTTCTCAACCATTTTGATTTACATTCTGAAAATGGGTTTTCTTTCTTTAGTTTCTTTTCTCCACTGTGACAATGGATATTCTTGCTCAAAGTCTCAATTCCAAAGACTTTGGGAGAATGGGAGGGAATAGCTACAGTGATTGAGCAAATCTCCTTTAATCTTTAAAAGCCAATAGCACAATCAAATTTTAAGTGCCAGAAACTCACAATATAAACTGTCTGAAATCAAAGAGGACAGAAAGATAAAAAAACGTATCTGTATCATTTGCACATCTTTTCACTTGTTCTCTATTTTTTTCACAGAAGCAAAACACTGATTTAATTTCTAGAACTAAGGTCTGACAATATATAAGCTCAGATCTTGTCAGGATTTGCTCAGTCATAAAAACTAATGCCTAGAAAGAAACAACAAATAGATTTTGGGGACACCTACTGGCTTAGTCAATATCACAAACACCTTTTCAATGAGGTGTTAGGGACTCTTATTTCCAATTAAGTCACCACTTCAACAAATATTTACTTGAGTAATCCAATAAAGGGTAACTTCTTATTTCCATGGGTGGCAACATCATTCCACTAAGAGCTTAAATTAAGGATTACTTATGATATTTGAGCCCAGACTAAATTACTATTATAGAATGGTACTAAGTAAATGGAGTAATATCCCTGCCAGTTCTTAAAACTCAAAACTCTTAGTATAATATCCAGCAAGACAGAATTTACTGGGTTGTGTATACATTAATGTATGAGATATTGAATTAGTACATATAAATTTCAGATATCATCCACTTGACTAAGTTACATGGCAGAACTACATGCCCTGAAGCTACATGATAATAAAGGATTCACTCTTCTGGAAGATTCTTTAGCTTTTAAAGATGATTTTTCAGAGAAAATTTCTGTTAAACTATAAGTTACCAAGATAAAACATGAAAATATAATTGTACAAATATCTATTTTACACTATATAAAACTTCAAGGGTAAAGCTGAAACTGTATATATAACTATATAAATGTCAAAGGATAAGTGCATAAAATAAAATGGATTCATGGGGAATTGCATGCTAAAGAAATACATGAAGCAAAATCACTGTTTGAAGACAATGGAGGGATATGAAAAGGATCATAATATAATTGGATGAAAACAACTGGATTCTAATCTTAGTTCTGCCATCATCTGCATGACTATGAATCACTGGACCACTGTGACTAAGTTTACTCATTTGTAAAATAAAATAACACTAGACTTACTTATGTTTCTCAGTATCATTATGAAGGCCAAATGAAAATATACATGAAAGGGATGGCATTTCAAAATTACATGCTATATAATATCAGAGATTATTAAGTTACTCTCATTTTGGTTAAGCCAGAAAAATCACTCTTATGTCATGATTTGAAATCAGTCTCTTGTTATTAAAGAATTCTGCTTGTGATTAGTTGACTAACATATACACACTGAGAGCCTAAGTAATAGACTTTTAACATTCAAGCAATAAAACAGCTTTTCTATTTGAAAGCAAAGCATATTTATTATAGAAAATGTAGAAACTTCAGAAAGTTGAGGCAAAAAGTTAAAATGCTTACATTTTTACCATTCAGAAATAACATTAATATTTTACTGTATTTATCATCAGTGTATGTGCTATACATATATACACACCTAAAAACAAAAATCAAGCATGTAAATGTTTTATTAATGTGCTTTCTTATATCAAGAGAAATTTCCTATGTCAATGAATAATTCTTCAAAACTATTTTTAGTGGTTGCACACTAATGAATACATTTCAAAGGTATGAGGTCATAATATCTAGAAATATAAAGTACAAACCACTCACTGCTGGTGCAGGGCAAACTGGTAGTAAATTTGGCAGTATTTATGTCATACCCCATTATACTACAGTTTCCCAGAGAAAAATCCCAATTTATTCAAGAAGGCATATTAACTGGTAATACAGTCACTTCTGGAAAGGGGAACGGGATGACATAACAAGGGATAGAAGGAGGAAGACCACTACCTTTCACTGTATGCCCTTTTGTACTATTCCCACTAATTCTTCCTTAGGTCACATAAGTAGTACTTACCAGAATTTTATCAGCTTTGGCTTCACTAATCCCCTTAATATTTATTAGCTCCTTCTTTGGTGCATAGGCAACAGCCTCCACAGTATGGAATCCAGCTTCTTCTAATTTCTTCACATCATTGGCATTTATACCACATTGCTGCATGGGAAGAATACCACGGACAAATTTAAGCTTCAGTTCTCTCATTTGTCTAATGGAGATATTTGCCCTACCTTCTTCAGAGCCGTTTTGAAGAAATGTGATATTATATGAAAAAACTTTGAAAAGTGTGTCCTATATATGAAGTTTTAGTAACAGATTATCAACCTTTTCATTATTAAAACCAGTAGGTACTGTTATGAATTGGGATTATACCAGTTTTTCCCAAGCACTGAGAATAAACCTGTGTGGGTAAAATTTCATTATTTCCAGAAACTCTCACCTGGCCTTAGTACATCTCCATATTAATAGGTGTTTCCAAGGGGTGGAGAGCAGTAGGCCATCTCTATATCAATAGGTGATTACAAGGGGAAGCAGGGCATATCTGGACCAGAGAGGTTGGGTGGGGTCCCTTTTTGCAGCTGGGGGTCTCGCACAGGCAAGCAGAACTGGATGACTACTTGTAAGTAATAAACGGGTTTCTCCCACTTTATTTCTCCCTTTGATTTCGGTTTCAAAGGTAATTTGCCCTGGGCTGGGAATATATTCCTCCCCCATCCCTGGAGTTACTACCTATAACTCTCAACCTTTTATGACTGGGACTGTAAATGAAGTTTGAGACTCTAGGCCTTAAAAGTCCACTTTAAATCAGTGTTTCCCAGTGTTTTCCACATTGAGCGCACATAAAAAATAATTTCAAGAGGCGGAGCCCAGGATGGCGGCGTGAGTAGAGCAGTGGAAATCTCCTCCCAAAAACACATAGAGCTATGAAAATATAACAAAGAAAAATCTTCATAAAATAGAGACCACAGGACACAGGACAACATCCAGACCACATCCACACCTGCAAGAACCCAGCGCCTTGCGAAGGGGGTAAGATACAAGCCCCGGCCCGGCGGGACCCGAGCGCCCCTCCCCCCGGCTCCCGG